TACAGATACAAGACTGAAGACCCAGAAGTTTTTGCTGCAGAGAAAGAAACAAAATAAAACAAAACAAAACAAAACAAAAAAAAAAACCTGGAATGGCCTCTTCCAAGAGTGAAGGGTCGTAAGTTTATGGTGTTTCTAAAAGCCCCATTCTCCAGACTCTAGATCATGGATCCTGGCTAGCATCAGTTAGTGGGTGTAATGGGCTTTTTTTCATCCTAGAAAATATACTTTGGTGGAATCCCTTAAAGCCATGACTACTGAGTAGTGTTATAGTTTATGAGAGTGAAAGATATGTGAGTTTCTATCAGTAAGGGTGCAGCCCTTTTTAAAAAGGTATCACTCATGTTGTATGGGTATGCCTGTATGCATTGATGTATACCATGTGTGTGCAGGTGTCCCTGGAGTCCAGAAGAGGGTGTCAGCTCTCCTGGAACTGAGTAACGGGAGATAATGAGCCATCTCGTGTGGGTGCTGGGAACTGAACCTGGGTCCTCTGCGAGGGCAGCAAGCACTTACCCACTGAATCTTTCCAGTCCCAGGAAACACCCTTGAAGTGACTACTCACAGAGTTTAGTCTATGCTCTCCAGTGGGAGTGGGTGCAGTTACCATCAGTTGGTAACACCCGGGGGGGGGGGCTGCACCCTCCAGCTGGTTCACGCGTGTGCCCGAATGCCACTGTGCAGAGAAACAAGCACTGCTGTTGCTGGAGAGCTCTCTGTGAGTGCTCCACGGGAAAGCATCCTTTTCTTCTGGGGCAGGCTGCCATGTAGCCCAGGCTGGCCTCACACCCACTGTGTAGCCAACAATGACATTCAGTTTTTGGTCCTCCTACCTCCTCCTCCCAGATGCTAAGATTCCAGGCCTGTATCATCACACCCAGGTTATGAAAATTAAATTCCCTAATTACCACAGCTACATAGCTCCAGCCTTTCTGTATGGAAAAGGCTCATACTGGAAATAACCTCTGCGGGCATCAGGTGAAGGAATCCACCCACGAGGGTTTAAAGCATGCAGCTTCTGGTAACATATCACTTAAAGCTTTTATTGTGTCAACCAAACTTAAGGGTTTGACAAACCAAACATTGGTTAGGAGCCTCCTTTCATATCCATCCACGGATGCTTGGTTATGTTCTGGGTCATTTCAGCTCTGCACGGTGAGTCTTAGAGATCAGAGCTTTCGCTGTTACAAGCTTTAAAGACAGCGAGCACCAGGCAGACATGCCAAGCGCACGACTGGCCATGGATTTCCACCCCTTAAACACCAGTTTTGCTCTCCCACTTCAGGTGCCTAGAATTGTTCATTAAATAGATTATGGAAGATCATTAAACTTGGATCAATCTTGTGGAGCTCATTCAAACCACATAGCTTAATAATTTCACCACTGGCTACTTAGCATGAAAATCTGCAAGTCATTTCCTTGGTACTTAATTCTTATTGTGTTTGCTGCTGGGTTAAACATCAGCTTGATGTTTATGAGCCACTGGTTTCTTCATTAGAAGTCTGAGAATTCCTACCCAGCCCAATGGAACGATCTTAAAGTTACAGAATCCTGTTCTTGTCGGAGTCTCTGCCATGAATGCCCTTGAATGCCACACTGAGAGTGGCTTGGTAAAGACCCCTCAAACAATGAACTGTAAGTGACAAGACTAAAAGTGGCCATGGTCAGAGACCATGAAATAGTGATGCACTCGGCAAGAAAAGTTGCTTATGTTGATGACCTACAACTTCTGTGGGGTGGATCTTGTTGTGTTGCCCATGTTGACCAAAACTCATGCTCTGCATTAACCCTCCTGCCAGCCTCCTGATTAGCTAGGACTCCAGGCAGGGCCACTCTGCCTTATTCTTGTATATAACACCTCCTGATTAGCTAGGACTCCAGGCAGGGCCACTCTGCCTTATTCTTGTATATAACAGCTTCCTGATTAGCTAGGACTCCAGGCAGGGCCACTCTGCCTGACTCTTGTATATAACACCTCCTGATTAGCTAGGACTCCAGGCAGGGCCACTCTGCCTGACTCTTGAATGTGATACTTACACATAACAATTAGGATTGATGTTCTACTAGCACTGGTATTTTTATGAATATTACATAATTTCTGAGACACATTAACAATAACACACCCCTACAAAAATAACTGAAAATTATAGCATTACTTAATTTTTAGCAGCATATCCCATGTAATTAATATAACAAATTAGCCCAATTAATTTACTTTCTCTAATTTTGTTAAGAGAATTATCTTTTCGAGACATGCCAAGGATCCATTGGGATAACGAGAGTCCCTGTTTTCTAGGCAAAATACCTCAAGTTTAAAGTAAAATCCTCCACAATATCTTATTAAGACCCTGCCATGCTGATGGAAGGAGGCTGTAGTGCATAGAACTAATGTACTCATATTAAAAAGAAAAAGAAAGAGTCAGCCAGCATGATAGGAAAACCTTATTTAGTTTTTTACAAGAAGGAAATTGTAGTTTTGCAGTGTACTTTATATACTAATGCCCAATTTTTAGAAAAATTTGTAAGTTGTTCCTTTTTTTTTTTTTTTTTTTTTTTAATTGGTTTTTCGAGACAGGGTTTCTCTGTGTAGCTTTGCGCCTTTTCTGGAACTCACTCTGTAGACCAGGCTGGCCTTGAACTCACAGAGATCCACCTGCCTCTGCCTCTCAAGTGCTGGGATTAAAGGTGTGTGCTACCACCGCATGGCAAGTAGTTCCTTTCTAATCTCAACAAATATGGTCACATGTCCACAACCTTCTACAGTGTTCTTACCTGTTCAGTTTTTGCCCTATTTCCTCATCTTATTTATTAACTGATCATATACTTTCATGCAAAAATTGCCCCATTTTTCCCTTAAAAACGTATCACTATGTCCTGAGGTGACCCTTACTAAGCTGCATATTATCTCTTGTATGTGTCTTGTTTTTAGTAGTTTTCATTTCATGCATTAATTAAAATCTAATTTTAAGTTCTTTTTAATTATGTCTATGTGTGTGCTCATGTGGGTCTGTGCACATGAGTGCAGGTGCCCGAGGAAGCTGGAGGTGTAAGATTCCTCCAGAGCTGGAGTTTTAGGTCACTGTGGGCTGCCCAGTGTGGGTGCTGGGAACCAAACTGGGGCCTTTGCGAGGGCAGTAAATGCTCTTAACCTCTGAGCCATCTGCCAGCCTCCTCGTGAATTAATTAGTTTTTAATCTTTGCTCTCAGGTGCTGTCCACCTCATATTTTGAGACAAGGTCTATCACCTGACATAGAAATCAATGAGGTTGGCTGACCAGCGAGCCCAGGGAGCTGTGTGTCTCTGATTTCCTGCTCTGAGATTACAAGCGCGTGTCATCTGCCCAGCTTTTTAAAATGTGAATCTGGAGATCTAACTCAGGCCTCCTGCTGGTGCGGCAAGCTCTCTACCCACTGACCCCTGTTGTTTTAAATCTGGAGGCAGTGTCTCACTGGATTACTCAGGCTAACCCTGAGCTCAGGCTAGCCCAGGCAGGTCCTGAATTCTCTACTCTCTTGTTTCAGGCTTCTGAGGTGCAAGGTTTATAAACCTGTGCCACAAGGCCAGGGTGAGGAACTATCTTGTTCAGTTTAATTCTTAACAACTGCACAAAGTACATCTGAAACTATGCAAAATCTACTCAACCTGGTTGATAGTCTCAACCTGGGGCAGGAACCTTCCCCTTGGCTGTAAAGTAAAGGCTGCAGTGACTTGAGGTCCTTGTGATTTAGTGGTGAGTTCCCAGGAAGGCACCGAGGCTCAGTCCGGGTCTCAGAAGCACCAGAATACATTCACCTTCAAAAAATGACTAGTTTGATCAAAGAAAACTAAGCAAACCTTCATGATGGAGCATGTCAGCGCTGCAAAGAAGTTCCTAATGTGCGTAAAATACAGAAAATACAAACCACTGTCGAAGCCTAAGAAGTGTGTCAAATGTGTACCAAAGACAGTGAAGGACTTTAACACATAATGTGTGAAGCATGTGCCTGTGATCGTGAAGTGTGCTAAATGTGGAAAGACAGAAGCTATTGTCTTTGTGTTTAATAAAGAACCAGAAACTTCAGAAATTCCTAAAGTCATGGTCTATCCATAGAAGACCCTCAGAGGGAAGGGAGGCCGTGAGGAGGATTTAGATGCTGACAGTGACTTGGATGATGAAGAAGGGGACATGCAGGTGGCCCCACAGCATGGAGTCGGCTGCAGAGGGCTCAGCCAACCCTGGCATCCGATGGGAGAGTCAGGAAGACTGTTCAAAATGGGCAGAACCGACACATGAGCAATGTAAATTATAACACTTGAATAACAAACAGCTGCGTATATAGAATATGTGTGTAAACACCTACTGTGGCATGCTGTATAACTATGGAAATTGTTTAGAAAAACATACTACCTAACGTCAAACCATCCAGTAAAAATTGGTGACTGTGTCAGAACTATCTCATGGAAAACTGAGATGATTAGCTCACAGTGAACGCATTTCCACAGCCTGACCTCAGGTGTGTGGCTTCCTTAGCAAAAGCCCCCGTGCATCTTACCAAGCAAAACTGTTTTTTAAACACACACACACACACACACACACACACTACAATCATGTGTAGTGATTTTCCTTCAAAAATATTTTATATTTTTAAGAGACAGTGCCTCTTTGTGTTGCCCTGGCTATCCTAGAACTCTCTGTAGCCCAGGTTGGCCTCAAACACAGAGATCTGACAGCCTCTGCCTCCCAAGTGCTGGGATTAAAGGTGTGTGCCACTGCTACCTGGCAAAATATTTTTATATACTACATCCCATTGTTTTTACCTTTTCCTAGTTTGGAAATAAATACTCAGAAAAAAAATGTGCGGACTATATAATAACTAGAAAGGAAAATCCAACATTACTTAAAAGTAACCCACTGTCTTACATCACCCCCTCTTTTTATGGTTGAACAATCTGTTACCACTCTTTTTAGACATGACTTTAATTATTGTATATCAAAAGCTTTTGTCTTTTTCAATTCTAGGGAATGAGTGTTGCTATCCTGGGACCCACATTTCAAGACCTGGCAGCAAACGTGAACAGAAATATCAGCAGCCTGTCTCTGATATTTGTGGGTCGTGCCTCTGGGTTCTTGTGCGGTACCACGATTGGCGGGATTCTCTTTGACCACATGAATCAGTTCTTTCTTTTGGGTGAGTAAACCCCTCCTTTGCAGCCGGGCGGTGGTGGCGCACGCCTTTAATCCCAGCACTCGGGAGGCAGAGGCAGGCGGATCTCTGTGAGTTCGAGGCCAGCCTGGGCTACCAAGTGAGATCCAGGAAAGGCGCAAAGCTACACAAGAGAAACCCTGTCTCGGAAAAACCAAAAAAAAAAAAAACCCTCCTTTGCTGTTCTGTGCCTGTCCTGACTCTGCACGGTGGCTCTCTGAGTGCAAAGCACAGCCTGCAGATGCTTGACAACACAAGTGGCCCGAGCTCGGGTGTCTTTTCTGGCTGCTGGGCTTCTAGGCTCCTGCCCTAACCTTGGCAGCTGGACGGAGTCTGTGCTGATCCTCTGGGAACTTGATCGGCAGCCCTGAGCAGTGCGGACCTTTACCGTAACGTAGGCTCTGCTCCAGACCCACACACTGGCTGACCATGGAGCCCTGAGCAGTGCTGACCTTTACCGTAACGTAGGTTCTGCTCCAGACCCACACACTGGCTGACCATGAAGCTCTGTTTATCTGGGGGAGGGGCAGAGCTTCTGAGTCACAGGGGTCAGAATGACTCCTGGAACCCAGCCAGGCTCTGTGGATTCCGATTGAACATGGAGGGCAGGGGACTGTGAGTGAAATGATGTAGACTATGCTTTTGTGTGTCACTGAGGAATCCGGACTGTCCTTTCCATCCCCTGAAAAGACGGCAAAGCTCTTAGCATAATATTTCTAATAAATTGACACAATTAAGAGAAATTCAGATGAATTATAAGATACAAAGCAAGGAAAATAAGTTATTGCTGATGAATGAAAAACTTGCTCTTCTTTACTGAAAGCATTGTTAGTCCACATCTAAAAATTCTCTAGTTTCTTAAATGGGCGACAGTAAGTAAATGATTTCTGGCCTGTCTCCTTTGCTATAAAACTTTGTGTTGCTGTATAATTTATTGTGATTATTAATAGTACTATAAACCTGCTTAGGTCATAAGTTACAAAAGCCTTATAGAATTTACATGATTTTGCGTGGCCACTGTAGAAACTGCTACTCTTAGTGTTAATTCATTCTTATTTTCGTATTCTTAGAGGTTTGGTGATCCTGAGGGATACAGTTTTTTTTTTGTTT